CCCCAAAACCCCAAAACCCCAAAACCCCATGCTCTTATTGAAAATCATTGTTATCAAAATAATTAATCTCTCCCAATTAAGCTTATAATATTAATATCATATTTACTCAATACTCCTCTATATAATAATCTTACTCATTACTGTACAAATGCTACTTTTGCTTATTAGCCTCAAAATCAATAGATAAATCATTAATCTTATTCTAGCAATCTAATAAGCCATTACTATATTCTTAATGATCATATTGGCTTTCATCTTGCTCCTATATTTCATCAAACTGCTACTATGCTCTATATGCTTGCTTATTTGCAAATTGCAATGTTCTCTTAGTACCCTAGTTTGCCCCTACTTTTTCAAATATGCTTTAATTCAAATCCTTGGTAGATGGTAGAGCAGCAGTATTTGATGCTAATAATTTTTTCAGTAAAGGATTATCATCATCTCTCAAGTAGTAAAGCTCATGAAATTAATTAATCAAACTCTCCAGAACCATGAATACTTACTCATCTTCTTCCTTGGTCTATTCTAGTTATTCAATGTAGTCTCCAATGCACTTCTTGTGTCCAATAATCAATTACTTCTTCTCATTGATGAATGTTGAATTCAAATCATACCTTTACTAGTTTGATTCAATCTATTCATTGACACCAGTTTTCTTGATTAGCTTTTGACAAAAATCTCGAATAGAAAATTCTTGTTGCTAGGAAAACATGTTTTCAGATAAAGTCTATTAGGAATCACTGCTCTGATTCTGCTAAAAATGACTATTTTTCTAATTGCACTATTAATTCTAAACTAGATTCGTTCTTTTCTCATTACTAGAATTATACAATGGGAAAGATGGCTTTAATGTTATGAACTCTTAGGCATCAGCATTTCTATTACTATCTTTATTCTCATCTTATATTTTTCTTCTCTTTAAATTTTGTTGCATTTAATGTTATACTGAGGGCTCAGCTTAATCCTAATAATTCTTGTACTGGTACTATAAATTTTCTGGATTCAAATTATCCTATTATTCAAAATTCTCTGACTAGTAATTGCTATCTTAGTATTATTGCTGTTATTATTCATTATAGCAATAATACTATTGTTCCTTCTAATCATATCCTTTGTATTGAGTTACATCTTATTTATTCAAATTAATGTCTAAGCTTTAAGTAAAGTCTTCTAATTAGTTTTAGCCCTTCTCATTGAAATGCTGCTAATTATGGCTATACTCATATTCTTCTTGACTACCACCTCCAATCTAAGTCATATCCTCATTTCCATATTGATAAACCTAAGATACATCCTCATTCATATATAGACTATCAGCTTATCTGCTTTATGTTTTCTCATCTTAACTCATTTCTTGCCTAGGCTGTCCAAATGAGAACTCAGAAGACATTTAGTAAAAATTTGCATGATAGTGATCAGGTCTATCAATCTAAGTCACTTCGTATTCAGAATTGACTTCGTCAATTTGAGAATATTTTAGTTCTAAGAATTCGCTGTTAGCCCCTTGAGATCTATTAGACTTGTCATTTTAGATATGCCCTTGTCCAGTTTTAGCTTGATTATTTGGCTTTTGGTTAAATGCTGATCCATTATCATTCACTTACATTTTTTCAGCTTCATGATCTCGATTCTCATCATTAAAATCTGGGGTATTTAGCATTAAATCATCATATCTACTCTCCTTTGAGTTCCTCAAAACAAAATACTAAGATGGATCAAAGACTAATTCAGAATCTTGTTTGTCATTAGATGAAATGTCTACTTAAGATCTGTCAAAAATTCCAGGCTAATTTTTGATAGTTTTATTAGATTTCATTTATATTTTGAAATTCAACGATGAAATTTCGTTTATATACTCAGGGGTTTTGGGGTTTTGGGGTTTTGGGG